TCTTCCTGCTATACACCTCTTTTCCAGTTGCTATGGACCAATAATGTATTGCTAGAGGCAGATATTACCCAGCAAGCAATTTAACCTGTCCTTTGCACTTGCTCTTCGTGTCTTTTGTACTGCTAGTGTTGTAGATGTTATCACATAATTTTCCCTTAAATTCAACTCTTGTCTTTGCAAATGGAAGAAAATACTACACTTGAGCTTAAGGCCTGAGGAAGCCCTTCAGATCGGGGGCAGGGCCTTCATCCTTTCATCTTCACTTCTGGCGCTAAACCACTCCCCTCCTGCCCCTGGGTACTACCGCAGCACTGAGGTCTGCCAGGGGCAACTTGGCCACTCTCCCTGTCCTCTTGCAGAAACTGAGGGAGAAGGTGGTGGCTGTATCTGACCCCGAGTAGTGTTGTCTATTTCTATTCCTTCACTTCGGCAGCTCGCTTAACCACTCTGAGTCACAGTTGTGGGGTGGGGAGAGGGGAAAGGCACTCAAGCTGTAACCCCCAAGGAGGAAATACTGAAGATTCTTCCACGGGTGGTTGGTGGTTGTGCCTTTGTAGGCTGTTCCCTTTGCCTTAAACCTGAAGCCGTCTCCTCGGGTCTGCAGGCAGCATGCCCAGGTTCCCAGACCCAAAGACACTGTGACAGTTGTTTCTGTTGGTTTGCTGTGTTTTGTTGCAAGAATTTCTCCATGTGTGTTGATTTTTGTTACTGTTTTTAAAGGTGCACATTTGTGATCTGCGTTGTGACTTGGAGATAATAAAATTGAGACTGTAAACTTGGCCTCTTTGCTAGTTCTTTATACAAGAATTGATTTGGGAGGGAGGAAATGGGGTGGTCCCTGGTTCTCATTCACCACTACAACCAGCTCAGACTTGTGAACAAACCCAGAGAGATGAAGTGCTCTCCCCATCACTGTCCCACTTCACTGCATTGCCCCATGGATGCCAAGATACCATGTAGCCTTGTATTAATGATCTTTATTTGGGGCCATACCAGGTAGTGAATGGACGTTACTCCTGACTTTGTACTTGAGGTTTGTTCCCTGCAGTATGAGGCACCTTACAATGAGGGAACACAGATCACTCACATGCAAACGTCATTTATTGGGGCTGGGGGGTGGGGGGAGGTTGTGGCATGATTTTGGGCCACACCTGGCAATGCTGGGGACCTACTCCTGGCAGTGCTGGGAATTTGCTAGGGTTAGGTAAGCAACTTCCCTCCTAAATTAGCTCTTCACACAGTTTTTATATTTGGTGGGGGCGGGGGATGCACACCCTACAGTGCTCAGGGATTATTACTGGTGTAACACCTGGCAGTTGTTGGTTGGGGGTAGGACTCCTATGCCAGGGATTTGAACCAGAGTCGGCCAACTCCTCACATAGTCTTAGGCTTAAAGTCTCAGGACAGAAAAACCAGTGAGATGCTGCTCACTCATGAACATCTATTATCCCTCATACAAGTTTCCCAGGGTAACAAACCAAAAGTAACCCTGTAATGTCCAGTGGAGAGGGGAGGGTCCTGCAGCTAGCTTCTTACAAAATGGACTCACACTGGCATGGAAGAACTGCAGTCACCATTATTCTGTGCTGTTCCCCTTCCAGTAAGATGGCCTCCGGTGAGTACAGGACAGTCCTGACTCCTGAGCTGTTTCCTGCTCAACTGAGTGGGATGAGATTTTCTTCAGAGGCTGTTCCCAGTGTGGGAGAGGAATTTGGAGCTTATAGCATCTGTTCTTGGTTTCCACAAATCCCTGTATGTGGGAGCATGGGCATTGAGGTGCATCTTAAGTGACATCTGTTGGGATTCCATATACTTTAGTCAGGGGCAGGGGGCAGTGCTGGGGAACAAATCCAGGGCCTCACACATGCAAGGCACATGCTTTGTCATTGAGCCACATCCCTGACTGCATGTACCTCACATTGCAACTGCTAGAGCTGGAGACCATGACTTCACACCCATCCCTTAAATCCCTTGCTGCCCTTCTCCCCAACAGGGTGATGGGTAACTATGGGCCCTGCCTGGGGTCACGTAAAGAATGTCAGTTGGCTTTGGGGGGGTGGGTCGCTGGCAGAAAGAATGAGCATGTTAAAATGTTCCCTCACCCCTGCCTCTTCCCGGTCCTGCAGTTAGATACCATTGCTCTCTCTGTTGCCCTGGTAACCAGCTCAGCAAGAAGAACTCAAGCTCAGCAAAGCCCCCAGGTTCTGTCTTCCCAGCCTGCTTCTCGATGGGCAGGAAGGAGGAGGGGGGAGTGTAACGGGCAGGCAGGCACAGATCAGCTTGCCGCCCAGTCTCCTAGAAGTTCCCAGGGTACCCTTGAAGTTGTTTGCCTGCCTGTCTTCAGAGTCGGTCTCCCTCCCCCTCTTTTTTCCATGATGGTGAGGTACCAGCCATCCTCTCCCAAAAGTCAGCCCATCCCTACCATATGGGTGACAATATGAAGGACTTGGAATCCCTGGATCATCTTCCAATCTCTACAGCCCATTTGGGTGGAGTTTCCCGATCACCCCCCACTCCTACCCCGCCCCCACCCCGAAGCCTTTTTTTTTTTAATTTTTGGGCCATACCTGGCAATGCTTGGGGGATACTCCTGACTTTCCACTCAGTAATCACTCCTGGCAGTGCTTGGGGACCATATGGGATGCTGGGACAGAATCCAGGTCAGCTATATGCAAGGCAAATGCATTACATGCTGTGCTATCTCTCTGGCCCCAGGCATTTTCAACTGTGACTTAAAAAATTTGTTGCTGTTTGGGCTATGCCCGATGGTGCTCAGAGGTTACTCCTGGTTTTACACTCAGGGATCAGTCCTGGTGGACTTGGGGGACCATATGGGTTGCCAAAGGTCAAACCCGGGTTGACCATGTGCAAAGCAAGTGCCCTACTCGCTGTACTATCTGGCCCTTCAATTGAATCCCTTTAAGATGTCTATTCATTTTGGTATTTCGGGCTACACCCAGTGGTGCTCAGGGCTTACTCCTGACTCTACTCAGGCATCACTCTTGGTGGGGCTCAGGGTATCATATAGGGTGCCAGGAATTGAGCCCAGGTGGGATCCATGCAAGGCAAGCACCCTATCCCCTGTACTATCACTCCAAATCTGTTTTTAAGAGTACCACAAATTGGGCTAGAGAGATAGTACAGGGGAATAAAGTCATGCAGCCAATAATCGTTCAATTCCCAGAACCTCCAGGAGAGAACCCTAAGTCCACCGGGTGTGGTCTAAACCCCCCACAATCCCTAGAGGGAAAAAAGTACCATAAATCTTGGCCCCACCTCAGAAATCTAATGTAATTGATTTGACTTCGTTTGGGTGTGGTCAGGACATGAGTTGTTCTGAAAGTTCCCCTGATGGGAACTGTTTTCATTAGAACCTTGACTAGCTGCCGGCTTCACCCATTGCTGAGTCTGTCTGATGTCTTGGAGCACTTGCTCCCGAGGTTCCAGTTTCCCAAAGTCTCTGCCCTTTTTATTTCCAGCTCTCTCACCCTCCACCCTCCCCAGTTCTTCCCCCTTCCCAACCAACAATCCCAAATCCTGCCCAGAGAGGATGTTACCAAGGCAACCAGCTTAATCTAGTAACTGTGGCATGTGCTGGGAGGGGAGCCCTCCCTTCTCCCCATTTGGTTCATAAAATGCCTGGGTTGCTCCAAGTCACTTTAGCCAAGTCACTTGTAGCCCCTGGGATATCGGGGTGGCCAGCAGGGAGCTCAGGATACATCACTTTGTTTGAACCAACATCCTTGACTGTCTAGTCTAGGTATTTCTTCATCAAATGATGCTCTCCTTTTCATCTGCTCCCCCTGCACATTCACAAACAGATGGGTGTGCAACGCTCCATCTCTGTGAACACATGTTCTAGCATACATGGGATCAGATATGCACAATGACATGTGTATAGTCCGCGCCTTGTTCAGTGCCACCGCCACTCTCACAGCCTTTAGCATTCCTGTTCCTGCTTGGTGCCAGTGAATAAAGGTGACACTGGGTCCAGAGAGCCTCAGCCCAGCCAGAACTTGGCGCCACTGCGCTCCCTCGCTATCCTCCCGGTGATTTGCTTACACTGTGCTTTTCACTAACTTTCCCCCCAACACACACACACACACACACACACACACACACACGCACGCACACTGGCGCCCTCTAGAGACAACGAACAGCATGTGCTTGGCATGGGCAGCTGACTCAGGGTGCAAATTTAGCACTTTTCCCCACTCCTCAGCTGCGGAGCGCTGGGGGTGCTATGTGCTGGCTGATGTGGGTGGGCCATCCTGGAGATGGAGCGATGGAGTGCGTGTCCAGCGCTGTGCTTTCTCCTGCCGCCAACTCTCTTCAAGTGCCCCTGTGCACCCCTCCCCACGGCCTCCTGCTTCTCCTCACCCTATCTAGACCTGCCACAACCTGCTGCTCCCTGCCTGGCTCCAACCTGCCTGCCATTACCTGCCCCTCGAGGCCAGGCCCTCACCACCTTTTATGCCCTACCAGAAAGGGCAAATGGGCACCGCCCCTGGCACTCACACCCATTCGCCCAATAAGAAGCCGGCTCTTCTCCCAGAAAGAAGATAAAGACCACACACTCTTGTGAATATGACCACAGAGCAGGCTGCCAGGGCTGAGAGATGGACACCCAATCAGCGGTCCTGGGGAGCCCTCACCTGGATACAGGTAGGTGGTTCCGAGCTCCGGGGAGCCCTCACCGGGACACAGGTAGGTGGAGCAGAAGACGGGCCAGGTGAAACAATGCTGAGTCCCGGTCAGTCCCCCTCCCCGCACACTCCCGGCCAGGACTCGCCTCCACAGGGCAGTCGCTCCCCGCCCCAAATGTCCGCCACCGCCCTGAGCCCGGCCGCACGCGGGCCCACTCGCCGTGAGCCCCCGTGCCCCGGCTCGCGAGTCGCGGGCCCGGGGGGCCGGCCCGGGCAGGGCGGGGCGGGGCCTGGCGCTGGGGGCGGGCCCGGGGCGGGGCCTGCGGCGGGGGCGCGGTCTCGGCTCTGCCACCTTCCCCCGCGGCCAGGAGCGCAGCCGCCGCCGCCGCCACCGCGTCCAACGCCCGCTGCCTCTGTCGCCGCAGCCCGGCCCAGGAGCACAGAGCCGGTGGGGGGGGCCCTGGCCCCGCAGCTCCCCACCCTCCGGGCCGCGTGCGAGCTGCCGCCGGCATGGGGGGCTGCTGAGAACGGCCACTCCTGCCCGCTGGCACCTCCCCCGGCCACTGGCCACTGGACTCAGGCCAGCGAGCCTCGACCACCTCGCGCCCCCCGTCCGGCGCCTGCCACGGCCCCGCGATCGGTCCCCCACCCCCGGCTCTGAGCACCGTGTCCCCGCCCCCCCCGCCCGCGCCTGGGACACCTGGGTCTCCCGGCGGCCCCGGAGGACAGGGGCGGGGTGGGGGGGGCATGAAGCCGCTGGAGAAATTTTTGAAGAAGCAGACGTCGCAGCTGGCGGGGCGAGCGGTGGCGGGGGGTCCCGGCGGGGGTCCGGGTTGCTGCGGCGGGCCCGGAGGGGGCGGGGGCCCCGGCGGGGGCGGCGGGCCGGCGGCGGGAGCGCGGCCGCTGCAGCGGCGTCAGAGCGTGTCTCGCCTGCTGCTCCCAGCTTTCCTCCGGGAGCCCCCCGCGGAGCCGGGGCTGGAGCCGCCCCCCGAGGAGGAAGCCGGAGAGCCGGCGGGGGTCGCCGAGGAGCTCGGCGGCGGGGCGCCCTGTTGGCTGCAGCTGGAGGAGGTGCCCGGGCCCGGGCCGCTCGGGGGAGGGGGGCCGCTGCGCTCCCCTTCCTCCTACTCTTCCGACGAGCTGTCCCCCGGCGAGCCCCTGACTTCGCCGCCCTGGGCCCCCCTGGGCGGCCCCGAGCGGCCGGAGCATCTCCTGAACCGGGTCCTGGAGCGGCTAGCCGGAGGGGCCACCAAGGAGAGCGGTGCCTCAGGTAAGGAGCGGGCTCCTGTAGAGTGGCCGGGGTGGAGGGTCGCGTGGGAGAATGGGGCCAAGGCAGGCCCGAGCCTCGGGTGTCACCTTGCCGTGGTGAAGCTGGGGAGGGGGTCCATGCCAGGACCAGAAGGGAAGTGACAGTCCCAGCCTCTCCCCAGCAGCCTCACCCACTGGACGAGACAAGACGCTGAACCCTCCTTTTTCCTAAACACCCTCTTCCATCCCCCGCACATTTCAGCTGCTCCTTCTAGGGCCCCAGATCAGGGCCTAAGGCACAGAGATGGAAGCTGCCACCTTCCGGGAGCCCCCAATAACGTTAGAAGCTGGGGCTGGCCTCCTTGGGGGCCAGTGACAGGCAGGCCCCGGCCCCCAGCTGCCTCTCGGTTCAGGAGAAGGGTTGTAATGCCCTCAGCAGCTGGGGCAAAGGGGGGCGTTGGAGTTGCGGGCTGGTGCAGAAGGTGTTTGTTGAAGGAGAGGGGGCTCTGCAGAGATCATGGGCCTGCAGCCTGCTGGGGTCCTAGCCCCCCCCCCCCCTCCATTTCTACCCTTCTGGATGAGGGCCTCAGCGCATGGCCTCTTTAAAAAAAATCACAACCACACCCTGAGAGGCTTAGTCCCAATGCGATGATGCTATTTCACCACTCCCCACCAGCACCCCTGCTAGGGGGAGGTGGAGGAAACCGATGCCCCAAATTGCCAGTTAGTAGCTGAAGTTGAGGTTTCTCGTGTCACTCTGGGCATTGCACTAAGCCCATCAGGGTCTGGGGCCTGGGAGCCCCGGCAGAAGACCTTGGAGGGAGGGGGGGTTCCCCCTTAGCTTCTGGAGGACCTCTCTGCCGCGTGCCCTAATCACGCTGTGTGGAATGGGGCTCCACTCCCTGGCTTTGCTCCAGACCTGGGCCCTCTTTTTTGGCTCGGGCTGGCATTGCCCTGGGGAGCTGACACCTTTTGGATTTAATTAGAAAAATATCAGACACACGGAGCTCTCCTAACCATAATTTCCCGCCTACACCACACACCCGAGTCTCTGTGACACATTCCCTGGGGAGGCTGTGCCTTGGCCCCGCGCCTGCCTCGGAAGAGACAGACGCCACCAAACGGTAGCCCCCAGAGCAGCGACGCCCCCACTCTGCCCTGGCTCCTTTGCCTCTGGCCTCAGCTCAGCTTGGCTCAGCCGGGAGAAGAGCACTGGATGCATGTTGGGTGACCCCTTTCCATGTCCCCATTCCTGAGCTGGCAGTCTGTCTGAGGTGGGCCTCAGAGACTCAACTGTGAGAACCCAGCAGGAAGGCCAGGAAGAGAGAAGTAGGGAGAAACAGTTTCCCCTCTTCCACTGGTCTCCCCTCTTCTACGGGGGCCCGGTGCTTCCCCGAGGAGACCCTGCTCAGTCAGGTGACTGCCAGCCATATCATCTGGTCAGGCAGGCTAGATCCCCTGACTAACTGGTTTGGGGAACCCTGCCCCAAACCCATCTCAGAGTGACAGAGTCAACCTAACCTGCCCTGCCGACCCTCTCCAAGATAACCAGGCCACCCGGGGCTGAGGGAGTAGGGGACGAGCGGGAGTCAGCCCCGCGCTAAGCCCAAGTCTCTCAAATGTCTGAGCAGCCTCCTCAGATCAGGAGCCTTTGCCCCTGGTGCCCTGTGTGTCTCCCACACCGTGAGGAAAGTACTGAGCCTCAAGATAAGACTCTTCTTCAAACCCCAGACAAGTCCTTCCCAGCTCAGGGCCTCAGTTTCCCTTTTGTGAAACGAAGAGTAGAAGTACAGGATCTCCTGTTGGTTCTCCTCCTCCACCTTCGGGGCTAGAATTGGGTGCTGGGGATGAGCCCTCAGAAGCCTGGATTCTGTCTAGGGGCAGTGCCTGGGGACCTGGCCCTAACCCGTCCTGATGAGGACACCTGGCTCCCTCCCTGGGCCCTGCCCCACCCCAGGGCTGGCTGCAAGTCAGGGCGACCTTGTACCTGGCTGACTGGCTGGGCCAGGCCCCATGGGGGTGTGGAGGGGCAGAGGTGGTGAGAGGAGCCACTCCCCTCCGCCCTTCCATCATTAACCCTTCCAACTCTGGGCATTCAGAAGACAGGGCCTCTAAGGGCTTGGGGATCAAAGAGAAGGCAGTTGCTCCCTCTCCTTGTGAGGAGACTGGTTCTCACCTGCCCAGTTGGAACTCAAAGCTGTTAGGGAATCAAAAAGGGAGAATAAGCACACACACATACACACAGCCACACATACCCATAGACACACACTCACCCATAGTCACATTCAGTCATGCACACACACATTCACACTGTCACACACACACACACACACAGTCCTACGCAGTCACATACACACTTAGACTTACATACTCACAAAGTCACTCTCACACACAGTCACATACATTTATACACTCACTTATACACTCACATAGTTACACACAAACATACACACACACAAACACATACACAAAATCCTCTGCGTTGGGAAGTTCTCTTGATCTGTAGCACGGTCTACCTCTTTTTTTCAGGCAGATTTCAATCTTGATGTATTATCTGACCAACCTCCCACACAGCTAAGAGAAAGTGGGAGTGGCCTTCAAGGGCACCCCCCTCCTTCCCTCCAGCTGCCTTGGCAGCTGCCAACCCCCACCCCCGCAGCGGCTGCCCAGAACCTTCACACACACACACACACACACACACACACACACACACACACACACACGTGCGCTCGTATGTGTGCATGTGTGATATATGTGTGTTTGTGTGCCGAACACCATGGGGCATGTGTGGCTGGGGCTCTGGCCTGGCTACCAAGAATTGCTCTCCGAGGCAAGAGGTGCGGTGGCAAGTGTCCAACCAGAAGAAGCCTCCTGAGAGCAGTGGTACCCATTGATCTCCACAGATATCCTGCTGGATGACATTGTCCTCACCCATTCTCTCTTCCTCCCCACGGAGAAATTCCTGCAAGAGCTACACCAGTAATATCCTTTCTGTGGAACTAGCCCCGTGGGAAGTCCGGAGGAAGCCACTTCCCCCTCCCACCCCCCATACCAATCCCAGGGTCAGGGTTTAAGTTTCCCTAGCAAACACTCTCAGGTTTCAGTCCAGCCTTTCTTCTCACTTTTCTTCTCCCTACCAGTCAGTCGTGTGACTTGAGGCAGCTCCTCAAACCTCCTGGGGCCTCAGTTTCCTCTTTTGTAAAGCAGAGGGAGGTGGCACCTGCCCGCCTGCCTTGGGGCAGCTGTCTGAGGCAGAGGGCAGGGTGCTTTGGAGACTGCAGGGCCCTGTGCAAGTGTAAGGTGCTATTATTCTATTAAAAGTGCCTCTCTCCCTGCCGAATTACTGCTCTAAACATCTGGTGGCCCAGCGAGTTATTGCAGGTTGTGATGTAAACATCAGGGCACGCCTGGGCCTTTGTAGGGTGGGCTAGAGACGAGCCACTGGCTGGGCTATTCATAGGGTCTCCTGTAAACACAGGGCTGCTCGCTGAGTTATTTTAGGAGCCGATTGTAAATGGCAGCCTGTGAGTACAGTATCACAGCTTCTCTCAGCAACACCGGCCCTGGCACGAAGGGATGGTCAGGTTTGCAATAAGCCCTGTGGTTTCAGCAGCCAATCAGAGGCCAGGCAGGGTATTCTCAAGTAGGATATAGAGATCTGGGAGCTGGATGTTGTGAGGAGGTGCCACCCCCACCTGCTCTCAGCAAAGCGATGGGATGGGTGGGGAGGGGGGTGCTGACTCCTTATACGTTCCTTCTCCCTAGAGAAGATCGATCCGGGGAGGTGATTGAACCTCCCATTGCCTCCCACCTTCCTTCCCAGACTTTCCAACTCTGTCTGCCCCGCTGGACTTTTCCTTAACTTCGGGGTCAGCTTTATTTGGGCAGGAGGCCAGGAGGGTCCGGAGGGGCTAGGGCGGAAGCAGGCCTGCCTCGCCATGCTCCTGCACTTCTTAGACACCTACCAGGGGCTGCTGCAGGAGGAGGAGGGGGCCGGCCGCATCATCAAGGTGGGTGTCAGAAGGGATGGCGGAGAAGCAGGCCATCAGCTGCGAATTGGGCCTCTTTGGAGGAGCCAGGCTTCTCTCCATGTCCTAGCTGAGAGCGTTGATGTGGAGACCCTGTGTTGGTCTGGAGAGCAGGGTGCTGGGAAGGGACCCCGGGCCTCACCTCCTTTCTCTCTGCGCCCCAGGACCTGTACTTGCTGATCATGAAGGATGAATCCCTGTACCAGGACCTCCGGGAGGACACACTGAGGCTGCACCAGCTTGTGGAAACAGTGGAGCTGAAGTGAGGAGAGGGCCCAGGAAGGCAGGCCCCTTCCCGGTCCCCACTGTGTTCCTCTGTTACTGGGGGTGCCTCCTGCCTCTGGTCTTTGGGTCCCAAGACAGGTTTTTGGAGCTTTGTTTTGTTTTGTTGTGTGTGTGTGTGTGTGTGTGTGTGTGTGTGTGTGTATGTGTGTGTGTTGGGGGAGGGGGCGGGGCTCACAATTGGCAGAGCTCAGGGATTACTTTTGGGTTCATGATTAAGAATAATCATTCCTGGCAGAGCACAGGGGACCATATGGGGTGGCAGGGATCAAACCCAGGTCAGCTGCATGCAAGATAAGGGTCCTAACTACTCTAATATCTCTACAGGCCCTGGGGTTTGGTTTTGGTTTTGGGTCACACCCAGATATGATCAGAGCTGACTCCTGGCTCTGTGTTCAGGGACACTCTTGGCAGGCTTGGGGGACCATACTGGGTGCCAGGGACCAAATCTGGGCTGGCCACATGCAAGTGATAGTATAGCACCTTACATCATGCGAGCACCTTCCCCTGTGTTCTCAAGCTCCCCACCCTCACTCCCAATTACATTTTCTTTTTGTGTGTGTTTTGGGTCACACCCGGCGATGTATAGGAGTTACTTCTGGTTCATGCACTCAGGAATTACTCATGGTGGTGCTCAGGGGACCACATGGGATGCTGGGAATCAAACCGCGTGCAAGGCAAACGCCTTACCTGCTGTACTATCTGAAGCCCCGCCAATTACAGTTTTATTTCAGTCACTTTCTCTTACTGCAGAGTAGCACAAGCTCTGTTTTCAGGCAGGGTTGTTTTTTTTTTTTCTTTTTGGGTCACACCTGGCGATGCTCAGGGGTTACTACTGGCTGGCTCTGCACTCAGGAATTACTCCTGGTGGTGTTCAGGGGATTCCAGGATTATCACTCAGGCCCCTCTGGGCAGTTTTATGCCATTCTCCCATCCATTCATTTAGTCCATTCAACGGTAAATATTTAACCACTAACACTTCAGGGAATAGAGGCCTGATCTGGAACTTCTGCTGATCCGCATGGAGTTAAGGTTTTTTTTGGCCATTTGCTGCTTCCAAGTTACCAACATGGTGTTTCCAAATAGGCAGTTAGGAAAAGGTTTAGTCCGTGCAGGTTCAAGAGTGTGTGTGTGTATATATATATAAATATATATATATATATATATATATATATATTTAACTTTTTAATTGAATCACTGTGAGACAGACCATCACAAAGCTGTTCATGATTGGATTTCAGCCATAAGGTGTTCCAACACCCACCCCTCCACCAGTGTATATTTCCCAGCACCAGTGTCCCCAGGTTCCCTCCCATCACCCCCAACCCCCACCCCCGGCCTGCCTCTATGGCAGGCTCTCTCTTTCTTTCTCTCTCTCTTCTTTCTCTCTCTCTCTCTGAGGGCATATTTTTACCAGATAAGTAGGATTGGTATAAATTACCCAAAGAGTATAGAAAACAGTAAAAATAAGAAAGATCTACTTTTTTGTGTAGTTTGACTGGACACATATTTATTTCCTTTTTTGTGTGTTTTGTGTGTATGTGTGTGTGTGTGTGTGTGGCCCACAGACTCTGTGGTACTTGGGGGGGCTATGTCGTGTGTAGGGATGGAACATAGGCTTCTACATGCAAACACATGCCCCCGTTCTTTGAGTCATCTACCACATCCTTTTTGTTTGTTTTTTGGGCCACACCTGGCAATGCTCAGAAGTTACTCTTGGCTCTGTGCTCAGAAATTACTCCTGGCAGTGCTTGGTGGGACCACATGGGGTGCTGGAGATGGAACCCAGGTCACAAGCGCCCAACCCACTGGACTATCACTTTGGCCCTGAAGCAAGAAAATTTGTATTGAAACTTAGAAAGATGTGAGAGGAAAGACTGGAAATATGTGGAGAATACAGGCTGGGACAGAAAACCTTTTTTTTTTTCTTTTCAAATGTTTGTGTTTAAAAGACGGTTGCAGAGACCAGAAGATAGTACGGTGATCAGAGCTCATGCCTAACATGTGCCAACTGGGGTCTGATTTGTGGCACCACGTGGTTCCCTGAGCGTTGCCAGATGCAACCCTGAGCATGGTTGGGGTGGCTGATGATGACTCATGGCACCGAAAGGTCTGAGCAGCGCTGCATCCTCAGGTCCTTGCATTGAACTGCTGGCCCTATTGGTGGGGCCCCACTGGTGAGGCCTCTGGGTCTTTTGAGCACTGCTTGGCAGGCATTCCCCACCCCAAGGCCCGAAAAATGTCAGCTGCAGACTAGAGGTGTGGCTTAAATTGAGGATCACATGCTTTGCATATTAAAGGATCTGGGTTTGATGTCTGGCACAGCCCCCTGAGCACTGCCAGAGAGGTCCACATGCATTTGACAGATTTTTTTAAAAGTCAGCGGGCCATGGACCAGAGCGATAGCACAGCGAGTAAAGCATTTGCCTTGCATGCAGCTGACCCGGGTTCAATTCCCAGCATCCCATATGGTCCTCCAAGCACTCCTAGGAATAATTCCTGAGTGCAGAGGCAGGAGTAACCTCTGAGCATCGCTGGGTGTGACCCCCAAAAAAGGGGGGGGCCAGATTCTCCCTAATTTAGCAGCTGGTTCTCGTGAGCTAAAGCAAGCAGATTTCAGAATACCACTTGAATCCATCTAGCCAGCCGCCCACACCCAGCCACTGTCCACCACCCACCGTCCAGCTTCCACTCATCCCTCTGGCCCTTGCAGTATTGTCTCCGCCCCACCCCTCCTCCGCAGACCTCCTGAAGGCCCCTTCATCTCCTTTCACCTGCATATTGCCACAGTCTCCTCTCTCCGGCTTGAGTTTAGGGATTTGTGTCCCTCTTAAGATAGCATCAGAAAGATTTTTCCAACTAGACATCAAGTTCCTGTCCCCAAAACAGCCACAGGGTCCCATTGTCTACAAAATTGCCACAACATCCTCACATGGCCTTTAGGGTGTGTTTTGCCCTGTCCTCTGCTTAGCCTTCCCATCTCCCAGGGCCCTCCTGGCCAATCCCCCCACACCCCCAGCACTCCTGGCCAAGCCCCCCTCCCCCTCCCCTTCCCTAGGCTCCAGTGTACTCGCGCCTTTCTGCTGTTACCCGTGTGGGGCCCACTCACAGTGACAGCTTCCCAGTTCTCCTTTGGGGGGGGGCATCCTTCCTCCTCTACCTCCCCACCCTGCAGCACACTCCTTGTGCCTGTGCTCTTACCTAACGCCTCCCGCCTGGTGTGAGAAGCAGCTGTGCGCATGTCTGTCTCCCTCCCCAGTCTGTGAAGTCTCAGCACATTTCAGCAAACAGCTGATGACCTACACCTACCATGTGCCAAGCACTGTGTTCATCTTGGAAGATAAAAACCGGGGCCGGAGTGTTAGTACAGCGGGTGGGGCGCTTGCCTCGCACGCAGCCAACTTGGGTTCGATTCTCAGCACCCCAGATTGTCTCCTAAGTCTGCTAGGAGTGATCTCTGCGTGCAGAGCCAAGACTAAGCCCTGAACACCACCAGGTGTGGCCCCAGCACCCACACCCACTCACCTACCCCACCCCCTGAAAAAAAACCTTAGTAGGTAGTACAGCTGGTAAGGCACTTGCCTTGCAAATTGCTGACCCAGGTTTTATTCCAGGTACTACATACCCGAGTCAGACTAGGCGGGATCACTGAGCACAGAGTCAGGAGTAAGCCCTGGGCCAGAGAGATAGTACAGTGGGTGGGACACTTGCATTGCATGCAACTGACCTGGTTGGATCCCCAGTATCCCCCAGCGCACCAGGAATATTCCCTGAGTGCAGAACCAGGAGTAAGCTCTGAGCAAAGCTGGGTGTTATCCCCCACTCAAAAAAAAAAATAGAAAACAGAAACCTAACTAAGAACTCAGCACAGGGACCAGAGAGATAGTACAGCAGGAAGGGCGCTTACCTTGGCCTCCTATATATATGGTCTCAAGCCCACCAGGAGTGAAGTCCGAGTGAAAAACCAGGAGTAACCCCTGAGCACTGCCAAATGTGACCCCCCAAACACACACACTCACACCCAGTCCTCAAGAGCTCTCAGTCTTATAGATGAGATGCAAATACAAACATTAACTCATGTAGTTAAGTTATTAATTTATACTAGTTGAGGCAAAAAAAAAAGTGACCTTTTCTGTTGGTGGGGTGAATCTAAGAGGCATTCAAGGAAGAAGTGGCACTTCATCTGGGCGACTTGGACAGTTGGGTCAGCCCCTTGGGTCACTGTCTTCTCTTCTGACCCCCTTCCCTATTTCCTCCACCCGGTCCAAGTACCTTGGACCCAATCCTGGTGTCCTTGTTGGAGCCTGCCTGCCTGGTGCACCCAGGCCTGGCCACGCTTCCTGATGCTCTGTGTGCCCATGCCAGGACCCCAGAGGAGAGCCAGCCGCCCAGCAAGCAGGTGAAGCCCCTCTTCCGCCATTTCCGCCGGATAGACTCGTGCCTACAGACTCGAGTGGCCTTCCGGGGCTCTGACGAGAGTAAGTGCGGGCCTTGGCGGAACAAAGCCAGCGAGGGGCCCAGGGGAGGTAGAAGGGAGCCAGTCCTTTCCACAGCTGCTTCCATCGGGGCCATCTTGGTGGGGGCATGGGGGGTTGAGGGGTGCCAGGGTGCTCAGAGGGGACTGTCCAGCACCGTGCTCTGCCGTCGATGAAAAGCCGCCTTCCTGTCTCTGTGCAGTCTTCTGTCGGGTCTACATGCCAGACCACTCCTACGTCACCATCCGCAGCCGCCTCTCGGCCTCTGTGCAGGACATCCTTGGCTCTGTGTCCGAGAAGCTGCAGTACTCAGAGGAGCCAGCAGGCCGAGAGGAATCCCTCATCCTGGTGGCAGTTGCCTCTTCTGGAGGTGAGCACAGGGGTGTAGGCGGGGCAGGGCAGAAGAAGAGCTCATAAGCCTTGGGACAAAGGTCAGGACTGAATTCTAGGTCTTGGCTAGAACTACAGGTTCAGCTTCTTGAAGCATGTCCCAGGATACCACTGCCAAGCATCACCTGGGAACTTGTTAAAAATGATGCTCGTAGGGCCGGATCCATAGTACAGCGGGAAGGGCATTTGCTTTGTATGTGGCTGACCTGAGTTTGTTCTCCAGCATCCCAGATGGTCCCCTGAGCACTGCCAGGAGAAATTCCTGAGTGTCGAGCCAGGAGTAACCCCTGAATATCACTGGATGTGACTCAAAAAGCCTAAATAAATAAATAAAGATGATTGTAGGCTGGAGAGATTGTAGAGTGGGGAGGGCATTTGTCTTGTGCGCACCTGTCCAGGGTTTGATTCCTGTCATCCCAGATGGTCTCCCCAGCCCTACCAGGAGTGACTCCTGAGCAGAGTCAGGAGGAAGCCCTGAGCACAACTGGGTGTGTACCCAGAACAAACAAAAGAGCTTAATTTCTGGGGCAGGAGAACTCAGTGTGGTGTGTATGGGGCTGAGTTCACACGCATCTATCTATATTCTCCTTGGGCTTTGCATGTGGGAAGTCTGGGTTGATTCCTGAAGCCCTGAGCACAGCACTGGGAGTTGTTCCGAGTACTATTGGGAATGACCCCCAAAACAAAGTATTTCTGAATCAGGGAGATAGCCCAAAGGGCTAGAGAGTATGCTTTACACTCGAGAATTCTGGATCTGTATCACAACACCAAATGGTCCCCTCAGCAGCCCTGGGGGGGGGGGGGTAACTCCTGAGCACTGACAGGTGTGGCCACCCAAAATTAATACAAAAAAATAAATCCCAAACCCAAATTAAACAAACCAGCATTTTATCTAAGCTCACACCAGGCCTATGGGGTCAAAATGTGCATTTCATTCATTTTTTTATTGAAAAAATCTGGGGGGAAGTCTGGAGCGATGGTACAGCAGGAAAGGCACAGCTTACGCATCCCCATCATCCTATATATAGTCCTCTGAGCCTTCCAGGAGTGATACCTGAGCACAGAGCCAGGAGTAAACCCTGATCATTTCTGGGTGTGACTAAAATCTGAAAATAAATAAAGAGGTTAGAAGGCTGGGACATTTGCTCTCCATGTAGTATTCCTGGATTCTACCCTTGCCACTGTCTCCTCCCCCAAGCACTGCCCCCAAAACAAATTGAAACAAAGTGATAAAATTCATGAATTTACAAAGTCATGAGAGATTGTAAGTGGCAAATAAATTGTAATGCTTAAAAATTTTAGACAAATGCCGCATGAACTGGTGGGAAGCTGAGCCCCATTAGTCTAGAACAGAGATTGCCAAGCTTGGGCCAAAGAGGTAGTACAGCAGATAAGGCGGTTGCCCGGCCTGTGGCTGACCCAGGTTCAATCCTGGGCACTCCACATGGGTGTCCCCTGAGCACCACCAGGAGTGATCTGTGAGCACAGAGCCAGGAGTAAGCCCTGACTACAGCTGGGTATGGCTCCCAAACCTACAACAACGACAAAAATACAGAGATTACCAAACATTTTTTTTTTGCTTTCTACCCCCATTTTTTTGCTTTTTGGGTTACACTCAGAGATGCACAGGGGTTACTCCTGGCTCATGCACTCAGGAATGACCCCTGATGGTGCTCAGGGGACCATATGGGATGCTGGGAATTGAACCCAGGTCAGCCTCGTGCAAGGCAAATGCCCTACCTGCTGTGCTATTGCTCCAGCCCCTTCCTACCCCTTTGAAAAAAACTGTATTCCACAGCCTCCTGGAAATCTACCTGCTTGCTTTGTCTTGTTCTTGAGCCATACAACAGTGCTCAGGGGCTGCTCCTGGCTCCCCCTATCCTTCAGGTGCTGGGGGACTAAATGGTGCCAATGATTGACACCCCCCACCCTACCTCTCCCGTGCAAAGCAGGAGATCAGCCCTTGAGCTCTCTCTTTCCAGCCCCTGGCAGTCTGCCTTGTTCTAGCCAACAGAGAGTGCTTAGCAATTGCCCCAAGGATGCTACAGCCCCCGGGTGCTTTCCGGCACTCTCAAAGGAAAAGGCTGGTCCAAAACCTGTGGGTTGAGAGTTTATGGGACCCCCGAGGGCTGGGGTGTCTCTGTGCCAGTGGTGGCAGCCCCGCTTTCCCCTGCAGAGAAGGTCCTTCTCCAGCCCACCGAGGACTGCGTCTTCACCACGCTCGGCATCAACAGCCACCTGTTCGCCTGCACCCGGGCCAGCTACGAGGCCCTGGTAAGAGCTCCTTTGTGCAGCCATGGCTGGGCACAGGGAGGGGCGGGGGCAGAAACTTCTAGAGTGGAGCTTAGCCCCTGTGTCCTTCCAGGTGCCCCTCCCTGAGGAGATTCAGGTCTCACCAGGGGACACAGAGATCCACCGAGTAGAGCCAGAAGACGTTGCCAACCACCTTACTGCCTTCCACTGGGAGTTGTTCAGATGTGTGCACGAGGTGGTTACTGAGGCTGGGGTGGGCAGGGGACACTGCAGAAAGCTGTGGTATGTGGAGGGAGGGGCACTGATGCTAAGAACCCGGGCTCACCTGGAAGCCCCCACAATCTGAAATAGAAGGTGCTGAGGGCGCCCCCTAGGGGAAGATTCAGGCACTGCTACCACCAAACCTGACCCGGCTGGGGCGCTCTTATTTATTTTATTTGTGTATTGTTTTTTGGGGTCACTCACCCAGCGGTTTACTCCTGGATCTGTGCTCAGGGAATCATTCCTGGTGAGCCTGAGGGACCAGCTGGAGTTCCGGGAATCAAACCTGGGTTGATTGGCCAGTGCCTTACCCGTTGAACTCTCTTTCTGGTCCCAGTGCAGTCTTTTATAGAAATAGCTGCTGGGGTGGCGATGGCTCCGGGGGGCCTCTCCATGGAGCCGGGCTGGGCGCAGGCTTTGTACGCAGAAGGCTTGGAGTCCATCCATAGTACTACATGTTCCCCTGAGCTCTCCTAGGAATGGCCCCCCTCTGTGTATGTTTTGTGTGTGTGTGTGTGTGTGTGTGTGTGTGTGTGTGTGTGTGTGTGTGCTTTATATGGCTGTGTGCAAGGCAAGCCCCTTGCCTCCTGCAGTCTCTCTGTGGCCCGTCTATATACACTTTTAGGATCAAGGATGTGGCTCAGTACAGAGCACATACCTTGCATATGTGAGGCCCTGGGTTCCAGCCCGGGGAGCTGCAAAACATAATTAAAAAAAATAAATCTACTCAAAATAAGGCAGTGCCAATCCTGGCTGTCAGATGGCTGTGGTGAGGATTAGTCAGCCTTTGCAAATGCCTCAATAGCTGGTAGAATATTAATGTCGCTTCTCTTCTCGTCCCCCTCTTCTGTTGCATTCTGTCCACCCCCCTTTTTTTTTTCTTGCTCTCCTGTCCCCCCTCCCTCCCCCCATTCTCGGCTCTCCCGCCCCCGCCCTCCTGCCTGGCCCTGCGCGTCCCCCGCGCGCCCCCCGCGCTGGCTGTCCCCCGGGGGTGCAGCTGGAGTTCGTGGACTACGTGTTCCACGGGGAGCGCGGGCGCCGCGAGACCGCCAACCTCGAGCTGCTGCTGCAGCGCTGCAGCGAGGTCACGCACTGGGTGGCCACCGAGGTGCTGCTCTGCGAGGCCCCGGGCAAGCGCGCGCAGCTGCTGAAGAAGTTCATTAAGATCGCGGCCATGTGAGTGCGGCCGGCCCGGAGGAGGGGGCGGCGGACGGCCACGGCCACGGCCACACGCGCGCGTGCGGCTCACCCGCCCCCCCCCACCCCCGCAGCTGCAAGCAGAACCAGGACCTGCTGTCATTCTACGCGGTGGTCATGGGGCTGGACAACGCTGCCGTTGGCCGCCTGCGGCTCACCTGGGAGGTGAGTCCGGTTGCTCGACCTCGCGTCCAGCGGGGCTGGCCCAAAGCCGCCTCCTCCAGGTGTCCGCCGGGTGTGCCCCCGCCGGGTGTGCCCCCCCCCCCCCGCAGGAGACGCCTTCTTCTGGCAGAGGGGGCCAGGACGCGCACAGCGGGGGCCCTGGATCGTGTCCTTCGCCCATCAGGGGAGGGGTCCAGGCTCCTTGGCTGATGCCCGCCCCGGACATCCCCAGGCCCGTTCATTCTGCCAGGCGAATTCCACACCCCCCCACCACCACCACCCGAAGGCCAGCTTCGGGCTCCTTGCAAAACTCAGGCCCTTCCCCCCACCTGCTGTGAGTTGATTCAAAACCATCCCTGGGAAACCTAAGGAGCTCCACTCCGACATTCCTGCTCCTTCTTTCTCCCGCAGAAGCTGCCAGGGAAATTCAAGAACTTGTTCCGCAAATTTGAGAACCTGACGGTGAGTGGGTTTGGCTCTTGGCACCCATTGGCCTGGGCCAGCAACTCGGTGGCCAAGGACCTTCCTTTGGAACTTCTTTGGAACTCGTACCCCGGTTCCAGAGATCCCACTTCCCGCCCCTCCCCTTGCCACCACTAGGAGGCCCCTGGGGAAGGATTGCTGCCTCATTTTACCCCAAGGAGAGAGGAGAGAGGAGAGCAGTCCAGCCCTGGGCCCCCCTGCTAGTCGCTTATGTGATTCCCGTGTGACCGGGGCTCTGTGTAGGGTGGAGGGAGTGTGCGGTTGGAGGATCGCAGGTGGACACCTGGCCTAGCGGTGCCCTTCTCCCCAGGACCCCTGCAGGAACCACAAGAGCTACCGAGAGATCATCTCCAAGATGCAGCCTCCCGTGATTCCTTTCGTGCCGCTGATCCTCAAAGGTGAGGCCCCTCTGCAGCCCGGCCCTTCCAACCCCCTTACCTTCGCCCAAGTCACCTCCAGACGAACCCCCCCCCCACGCATATACACACCCCACTGGAGGGGCCTGCGGGAGGCGAGGGGCCCTGGGCCGGAGCTTCCCTCCTTCCCTCCCTCCCTCCCTTCCTCCCTCCATCCCTCCCTCCCACTCATGTGGGACCCCTGCCCTGTCCCCTAGACCTGACTTTCCTGCATGAGGGGAGCAAGACTCTTGTCGATGGCCTGGTGAACATCGAGAAGCTGGTGAGTGGCAGTGCCAGCCCTGAGTCCCACAAGTGGGGAGGGGTTGGCATGCTCCCTCCACCCCTCACCCTGCCTCCTGGCACCTCCCTGGGATCACAGCCTTGCCCCATGGCGCCCAGCTTGCCTGACAGACTCCCGGCTGTCTCCCTGGTAGCATCTCTCTGGCAAGCCACCCACGGGTGGCAAAGCTGGCAGGCAGCTTGGGGGCCACTCTGCCTCCACCGCTCCGTGTCACCCCCTCTTTACACCCTCTCCTTTGATTCTTTTTCTTTTCTTTTTCTTTTTGGGTCACACCCGGCGTTGCACAGGGGTTCCTCCTGGCTCTGCACTCGGGAATTACTTCTGGCAGTGCTCAGGGGATCATAGGAGATGCTGGGAATCGAACCTGGGTTGGCTGTGTGCAAGGCAAACGCCCTACCCGCTGTGCTATTGCTCCAGCCCCTCTCCTTTGATTCTTTAGGGACCTTTCAGACTCGGTCTGGGAGGGGGTGAAGCCGAGGCAATTGGCGGCGGGGGGAGGCGTGTGGGTGAGGGACATATTCCTGTGGCCCTCTGGGGCTCATTCCTTTCCCATCTCCCAGCATTCAGTGGCCGAGAAAGTGAGGACTGTCCGCAGGTACCGGAGCCGGCCCCTGTGTGAGTAAATGCTCGTAGGCGCGGCCGGGCCAGGGCCCACCCCCTGCTGCACTGCCTCAGCGGGCGCGTGTGGCGAGGAAGGGGGTGCGTCTGGGAGCCTGAACCCCTCTCCCTGCTGCCTCCTGTTCCCCAGGTCTGGAGATGGATGCCTCTCCCCATCACCTGCAGATCAAGGCCTACGTGCGCCAGTTCCAGGTCATCGACAACCAGAACCTCCTCTTCGAGCTCTCCTACAAGCTGGAGGCGAACAGTCAGTGAGCACGGGTTTCCGCGAGACCCCAGGCTCCAAGGACACCTGGCACTCAAGCACTTTGTACCATGTCCCGGCCCACCTCCGGCTCCTGTCCCTGAACCAACTTCCTGCCCACAGGCAAGATTTGGGAAGATTTCCCCCGACCCTCAGGCCTTGTCCACCCTGCTGAAAGCGCCTGCCCCTTGCTTCCTCAAGTCCAGACCACCAGGGAAGGCGGGCAGGGGGCCACTCTGTCTGCACCTGCCCTTGCACTCCGGTTGGAATTGTGGGTGCGTCAGGCAGACTTCCTCCCCACTTCTCCTCTGGCTCCTCCCTAGGCTGACTGGGACCCCCCTGGATGTGCCCCCTGGAAAGATGTGTGTGTGTGTGTGTGTGTGTGTGTGTGTGTGTGTGTGTGTGTATATGTGTGCGCGCGCGCACGCGCAGTGGTCCTTCTGTTTGGTGCTACCCGTGTCCTCTCTACCCCGGGCCAGTGAGGAGGATGTGTGCTTTCCCCACCCTGTCACTTCCCTGCCGTCCCAGGCTGTTGGGAGAAGCTGCAGGCAGCAGGTGGGAGGGGTTACTGGGCAGCCCTTGTGAGTCCCCCAGCCGAGCCGCACCAAGGAGAGGGTGAACGATGCTCAGGGAAACAGGCCTCAGTTGCCTCCAGGACCCTCCCTCTGCAGTGCAGTGGCGTGGGGTGCGGCAGAATCAAGAGCGAAGGGTACCCACAGCCTCCACCCCGGCTTCTGGGGGTGTCTCACTGCGTGGAAGGGAATTGCCGTTTCCCTTCTGGCTCCGGTGAATGACCCCACAACACCACCTTTGCCCTTCTCCCTGTCTTGACCCTCCGTCTGTCCTCCTCATTACAACCGGGGTGGGGTGAACCCCTGAACCGGGCAGGCAGTCCCCCAAAAGTGCAGGGGGTAGGGGGAGGAATGGCAGAGCTGGTGAAGGTGAAGCTGGCCTCTGGCCAGGCCTTCAGCCTGTGTCCCCCCACCCCGCCCCGGCCTGCAGCAGTGACCAGGGCAGAAGGGCTGCTGGCGGCTATGGGCGAGGTTCCCCGCACTCCGGAACTGCCTCTTTCCCTTCTGAGGAGGCTGTGGTGGCAGCCGCAGCTGTTCCTGCTCTGAGGGTGTATATATTTTTTACCCAAAGCTCTGGAATTGTACATTTATTTTTTAAAACTCAAGGAGGGAGAGAACCTTGTACCATATGTAAACAGTGTATCATAGGTCATGTTGTACAGTCCCTTTTATACAGCCTCTGTCTTGTTCTTGTCCCCAGAGCCCCCGACCCCCACCCATGCACACACAGTCGCAGCCCGAGACCAGGGCCCCCCTTCCTGTCCCCAGACTCCTCCCTGCAACTGGCCGTGTCCCTCCCGCCGCCTCCCCACGTCCAGCTCCTACAGCCCTCCCGAACGCTGCCACCCCCTAGCCCTGCTACTCCCGCTCCCCACCCTGCAACCCACAGCTTTAACAGAGTGAACCCTGTGTACCGCCCCTCCCAGCTGTTGAAACTACTGGGTGGAGGAGAAGCCGATAAAGTCTCTGAATCAAGACTCCCGCTGTTCTTCCTTCTTTGAGCTGGGGAAGGACTGTGCTCCAGGTGCCTCGGAGGGGCGGTCCTGGGGTGACTTTGAAGGTGTCCTTAAGAGGAGATGTGTCCCTCAGTGTCTGCACTCAGAAGAGGGGAGGGGGGCCGGAGCGGGAGAGGCACTTGCCCTGCACAGGGCTGACCCGGGTTCAATCCTTGGGATCCTCTAGGGTCCCCCGAGCACTGGCAGGAGTAATTCCTGAGCACGGAGCCAGGAGTAACCCCTGAGCATCGCCAGGTGTGGCCCCCAAACAAAACAAACACGCAAAGACTTCATTCCTGGGAGATCTGGGATCCGGTCTGGTTGTCAGCCTGTAGGCATGTGGGAGCAGATGGAGAGGTCCCTGTCTGCGGTCTGAGTTACAGGGCCAGTGAGGAGCATGACCAGATCTGCCCACTGTGGACAGTGCCCGCACTTCACACAGCTCTGTGGACCCCAGTGTGCACAGAGGGTCCAGCAGGTGGCCTGGACCCAGCCAGCTCTAAGTGCCCTTGAAGCGCCCTTGTCCTTCCCACACACCTGCAGGTCACCTCTCAGTCTGTGCTCAGGATCATCGCCCTCCTGGGCCTCAAGGTTGAGGTCTGGGTTCCTTCCCCAGGCTCATGGCCTGTCTCCTGCCAGGTGAGTGTGTCGGCCCCTTCTAGGTATCTCCTTCACCCTCTTCCAGCTGTCTCATTGGCCGGTCCTATGGCCAGTGGCCAGCTCCAGGTCCTGGCCATCCCATTCGCAATGACTTGCACATGAGTACAAAGTCCAGCCTGTACTCCTGCCCTGCTGGGTGACCGTGCAGCCTTTGGTCTGGCCTCTTGGCTGCCTTTCTGGGATCCACTCTGAACCCTACTTCTTGCTCCTCCATGGGGCCGCACAGGGCTGTTTTCCAAATCTGAATTAGATGGGATGTGAAAAGAGGGTTGAAGCTGGGGTGGGGTGAGCACAGGCTTCAGGGGGTCTGCTTATATGTGAGGACCCCAGTGCATTCCCTGACACAATGCAGAGCCCCAGAGCACTGCTGGGTGTAGCCCTTAAAGCCCCGAGTATTGCTGGGTGACTCTGGGACCTTTGGTGCCACAGGCTCTGAGCAGCATGGAAGCCCAGTGACCCCCAGGAGAGTCCCCTCCACCTCTACCACACTCCCTAAAAAAATTGAGAAGCTGGAATGATAGTACATGGGTAGGGCACTTGCCTTGCTCATGGCCAAACTGGGTTCCATCCTCAGCACACCAGATGGTCCCCTGAGCTCTGCCAGTAGTGATCCCTGATCAAGAGCCAGGAATAAGCCCTGAGCACTGCCAGGTGTGGTCCAGCATCCCCCCGAAAAAAAAAAGAAAAAAGAAAAAGAAAGTTCAGAGAAAAAGTGGCAAAACCAAGTAGCAGGAGGATGTGGAGTAATCAAAATCTTGACACACTGCTAATGGGAGTGAGTGGTAAGATGTTCAGTATCTACTTGAAGGAACACCCAAGAGCAGCTGGAGAGATAGTCCAGGGGTAGGGTGATCACTAGGGTGTCTGACCCCAGTTCCATTCCCTATACCAAGAGGGGCCCTAAATTTCTCCAGAGTTACCCTGATCCACACAGCTGGAAGTAGCCCCAGCACTGTAAGGTTGGCCCAAAAAAACAAAGGGAAAAAATTAGGAAAAAGAATAGTCAAGAGATGTTAAAGCCCATGGTCCTCAGAGGACATGCCCAACAATGACAACCATTCACTTATGAGGAAGAAATTTTGTGGGTTTTTTGTTTGTTTGTTTGAGATTTTTTAGTCTTCTTAGATCACACCTGGCAATGCTCAGGGGTTACTCCTGGCTCTGTACTCAGGAATTACTCCTGGAAGTCCACAGAAACCATATGGGATGCTGGGGATCGAACCTGGGTCAGCCACGTGCAAGGCAAATGCCCTACCCACTACACTATCACTCTGGCCCCTGGTTCTGGTTTTGGGTCACACCCAATGGGACACAGGGTTTACTCCTGGCTTTGGGACACAGGGTTTACTCCTGGCTTTGTGCTCAGGAGTCACTCTTGCCCACGCTCAGGGGTCCTTATGTGGTGCCAGGGGTTGAGCCCTGGTTAGTTGCATGCAAGTGCCCTACTGCTGTACTGTCTCCCTGGCCCTAGTCCTCCTATGTTTTTTTTTCCTTTTTTTCTCTTTTTTTAATAATGTAGGAGTATTGCTATTTATTCAGCCATTGATTAAGCTGATTGAATTGGGCATGAAGTCCACATTACTTTTTTTTTATTCAGAATGTTAATTTTATTTTATTATTTTATTTGCTCGAGTGGGCCTAGTAACATCTCCATTTTGAGACTTGTTGTTACTGTGTTTGGCATGTTGAATAAGTCACAGGTAGCTTGCCAGGCTTTGCCGCGTGGGCGAGATACTCTCGGTAGCTTGCCAGGCTCTCCGAGAGGGGCGGAGGAATTGAACCCGGCTCAGCCGGGCTGGCTGCATGCAAGGTAAATGCCCTAGCGATAGCAAAGCAGTAGGGTGTTTGCCTTGCATGCAGCCAGCCCGGCTGAACCAGGTTCGATTCCTCCGCCCCTCTCGGCAAAGCCTGGCAAGCTACCCGTGTCATATTCAATATGCCGAGTACAGTAACAACAAGTCTCAAAATGGAGTTGTTACTGAGCCTGCTCGGGCAAATTGATGGACAATGGGAGGACAGTGTTTTGTTTGTTTATTATTTTATTATTATTTCCCCCACCCCGTTTTTTTTTTGATTCACCGTGAGATACAGTTACAAAGCTTTCATGTTTGAGCTTTGGTCACACAATTATCAAACACCCATCGTTTTCTTTCCTTTCTGGACAAGGTTTGGGCCACACCTAATGGTGCTCAGGGCTTACTTCTGGCTCTGTGCTCAGGGGTCACTCCTGGCCAGTGATTGGAGAACTATATGCGCTGTTGGGTCTTCAACATGGATCAGGTGCATGCAAGTCAAGTGTCTTAACCCTTAAACTATCTCTTTAGCCCCTTTGGATTTTCTTGAAGGCACCCACTTTTATTGGACATCTTACACATTTTGTGCATCAGCTTCATTCTCAGGCACTCACCAGAATGAGCTACACTTCACAGGTGCCTCCTGGGTATCTGGCATGCGCAAGGCAGTGCCTAACAAATGCAGTCAGCCAGTTAAAATTAGAGCCTCAGGGCCGGAGTGCGAGCACAGGGGGTGAAGATGCTTACTTTGCGTGGCCCTGACTGAGGTCCCATTCCCCATATCGCAGATGGTCACCTGAGCATTGCCAGGTAGGGCTCAAACCTTCCCGCTTGCATGTGCACGCACACACACACACACACACACACACACACACACGAGCCATAACACTGGAGCAGACACAGACTGGTGTTCTAGGAATTAAGCCAAGGAGATTCATCACTGGTCTGTGGAGAGAGGGTGGGGGACCATAAGAGAAAACTGCTGAAAGCTCTTCTTGAGGAGAACATGACGGCCAAAGCGTCGTGGACAAGCTTTGTGAAGTCTCACAAGCTCTGTGCCGCCCTGTCCTGTGGGACTAGAGACTAGTGGAGCCTTGGTGGAGAGGCAGGGCCTTCTCTGCCCTCCTCTGAAGAAGGTGCTGGTCACCCCCTCAAGGACTCCGAGCCCTAGAGCAGGGTCCTGGGGCCCAGGCCTTTGATATTTGTTTGCCTCCCCCAGGAGGGCAGAGGAAGTCAGAGTTGTTGCCTCATTCCCAGCTCAGCATCTTCGACCCCCTTTGCA